GTGGAATAAAGTCGTTATTTTTGTTTTCTTTGCGCAAAAAAGTATTCTCGTATTATTTAATGGTAGAACTTTAGTAATGAGAATTAAAACCATGTATGAATGCATATTAGTCATATTAACTGAACTTAGGACTGGTGGTGGTGCTTTTTTGGTCATTCAGTGTTCCTGTAAAAAAATTGGAAAAAACTAACAATAATACTAATATAACAATTATACTAATACTAAGATAATAATAATGATAGTATTATTATTATTATTATTATTACTATTATCATACAAATTCTACTAATAAGAACAATATAAAACGCACCCAGGATTAACGAGCTGCTGGATTCATGAATATTAATCACATTGTCTGCGTTCGCTCGAACTGATTTGCTGAAATCAAAACAGAGACGATAATAAGTGAGCGCCAGCCAATGAGATTGTCGTTTGCGCATTAGTTTTGCCCACTACCGGAAAACACGGCAGTTCTTAAAAGCTGAAGATTCCAAAGGAACTTATTATTTTGACTAGTTATTTTGACAGGAAAATACAACAAAGAATATCGTTTACATGTAGCACGTCAATTCTGCATGTTATGTAAGACTCTCTCGCTCGCTCTCACTTTGCGCGAGTGAGAGAAAGCGACGGCGAGTCGTACGCCTTCACAGTAGAGTTTACGGTATGCCAAATACACAAACACAGGTGTGCTGCGCATCCACAGAGATGAAATGAAAAATGTCACAGATCGCTTGATGGAGAGTGAAACTCTGAAGCGCTGAGTCTGAGTGTTCGGCGAGTGAAAATATATCTGTGCTAAACTTATACCTCCAACTCACACACTGACGAGTAAAATCTGAGAATTTATTAGCCATTGGCTAATATTAGACATCACTTAGTCGCTCAGAGTGAAGATTTAGTCGCATATGCGAGTGATTTACTCGCAATGTAGAGGGTTGATTTATGCATTAGCACTCACTTGAAAGAATAAAGTCTAAAGCATTGTACTTTACAATGTAAATTAAAACTAAAAAATAAATGTACATAAAATATTATTTATTAATTTTTTTTTTTTTTTAGAAATTAGTATTCAGCAAGGACACATTAAATTGATCAAAAATGACTTGCATTTAAAAAATAAAAATATTGCAAATAAACACTGTTCTTTCTATTCATTATCCTAAAAAGTATATCATGGTTTCCACAAAAATATTAAGCGGCACAGCTTTTTTCAATTGTGATAATAATAAGAAATGTTTCTTGAGCACCATATCAGCATATTAGAATGATTTCTGAAAGATCACATGACACTTCACAGATCGCTTGATGGAGAGTGAAACTCTGAAGCGCTGAGTCTGAGTGTTCGGCGAGTGAAAATATATCTGTGCTAAACTTATACCTCCAACTCACACACTGACGAGTAAAATCTGAGAATTTATTAGCCATTGGCTAATATTAGACATCACTTAGTCGCTCAGAGTGAAGATTTAGTCGCATATGCGAGTGATTTACTCGCAATGTAGAGGGTTGATTTATGCATTAGCACTCACTTGAAAGAATAAAGTCTAAAGCATTGTACTTTACAATGTAAATTAAAACTAAAAAATAAATGTACATAAAATATTATTTATTAATTTTTTTTTTTTTTTAGAAATTAGTATTCAGCAAGGACACATTAAATTGATCAAAAATGACTTGCATTTAAAAAATAAAAATATTGCAAATAAACACTGTTCTTTCTATTCATTATCCTAAAAAGTATATCATGGTTTCCACAAAAATATTAAGCGGCACAGCTTTTTTCAATTGTGATAATAATAAGAAATGTTTCTTGAGCACCATATCAGCATATTAGAATGATTTCTGAAAGATCACATGACACCGAAGACTGGAGAAATTGTGTAATTAAAGAGAGATACGTTATTTTAAATTATAATGATATTTCACAATAATCACTCTTTTTGCTGTATTTTTTATGAAATAAACTCAGCCTTGGTGAGCACTTCTAAAAATATTTTACAAAAAAATCTTACCAACCCCAAACTTTTGAACAGTACTGTAAATTTAACATATTTAAGCATATTGAAAATATAAATATACAGCATTTTAATATATGTTTTCTATAAAATTAAAACAGCATATATTATAATGATTTATATATTTTATTTATTTAAATACATTTTTATATATTAAAAATATATATATTTCAATTCAGTCACCTGCGGGGGGAAATACATAAATAGATCAATAAAAACACATGGCAATATCTGCTGGTTCATAATAATGAAAATAACATGAATCATCATCTTAGTTGAAAATTACTGAAATTCTAATTACAATACACAAAACAACACTTATAACTGCTGAATCAGTATTACAATGGTTCAAAACAGATATTAGTACTTCAATATGCTGGTTTATTAACATTACATCAGTTAATGAAATGCGTTTTTTTATTGTGAATTTAAGTGAAGTCTGTAAAACCTAATATGTTGCTACCATATTTTTAACGGTGAAGTTCTGGCAACCACAGCTGACGGTGTTACAGATTTTTTTTTTTACAGTGCAGCTTTCCCTTCCTCTGTTGGCACATGAACAACCAACTGCACTCGGAAAAAATAAATAAACAAAAGAAAAAAGCCAGCCTGCTACTGCTCTGTTATGATGTTTTTAAGACAAAGCCTTGAATTGGTAAAATTTGGCACAGGGGCTGAGTGGGCATTCTGCAAGGACTTGGGCCCTGAATAATTCATGATGCTCAAAGAGCACTATGATCACAAACAGCCCCTGAACCCCGATTTAGCGGTCTCAGCGTTCTGCCACCTGATAGAGGCAGAGGATTCTGCAGTTGAAAGGAGGAATGCTGGGCGAGGGGAGACTAGGTGCACTCAGGGACAAACTGTGGGTGGCCTGGAACCAGAGCGAGGCTAAAACGCACACTTTTACACAGACGTATCATTGTAGAGCTAATAAGGGTTGGGCTGCATACAGTCACTGCACTAGCAGGCATTCCTCAAAGGCTTATGCTGCACATGGGTTATCAAGCTGAGAGGAGACACTGAAAGAAAGAGAGGCTGAATAGGAGAGAGAAAGACAGATGGTCAGGGGCTATGGTGAAGTAATGTTAGATATCAATGGAATGCAAAGGCTTCAGATCTGAGCCCATTTATCATCCAGTCAAAAACAAAAGATCAGCGATGGCAAGGTGAAAAAGCGCTGTAACTGAAGGCGTGCACCGTGTTAAAAGTAATTGAAAATAATTGACAGAAATGAAAGGATTTTAAAGACACAGAATAAGGGAGTTTCAGTGGCCAATGTTTATTCTTCGACGCATAAAGAGTATAGAAACATGTGCATGAGTGTGTGTCGTACACCAACGTAACGTTGTTCAGGGCTCCAGACTGCGACTAAAAATATTAATTTGCGAGTGAAGTTTTTGCTGAGGTCGCCACTGGCGACTATATATATTTACATGTTATAACTTAAAAATTTGCATGTAATGCCTTTTTTCCTGATTGTTTTGCGATCACATCTTTTGTTATGTTCACGTATTAAACTGAGACGATGCGTGCCCATCAAAGTTTTAGTGGAAAAAATAGTTTCAAACAGTCCTCATCTCTGCTGCACAGTAGCGCTGACGCACACAGTCTGCTAAACGCAGCTCAGTTGTACAGCGCAATAGAGAACGAAATAACAGAGACGTGCGAAGTGAAAATGCAGAAAAGCAGCGTCTATTTCGTGCACAACTTGAACTAACTACAACAGGTAAAGCTGTCAGTTGTGTGGATATTGGCAATATCGTTAACAATTCTAGTTTATAATCATTACTAATATGGCTTCTTCTTAACAAGATCTTAGTCTATGCTGTGTTCTGTGATTCTGTGTTCTGTTAATGCGTGAACTTATTATTTGAAGCACACTTTCCGTCCAGTAATCGCAAAAAGCTTTGTGCTTTGTTACTTTTTAAAAAACAAAGTATCAGCTTTAAAATTATTCCAAATTCATAACGAAATTCAAACAATAAATACAGTTTTGGCGCTCTTTAAGGCACAATCGCTTTAGCGCCTCAGTTCAAGTGGCAAATGAACCCATTTAATCTTTCTCTTTACTACTAGTAGCTACATAATAAACATGAATTAACATCAAAAGGTAGGCTATTTTATAAGAGAGCCTACAGTACAACTTACTCATGTAAGTAAAAAGCTCATTCAGTGTTTCAAACTGCGGAAAACGTGTAAAGCTTGTAAACATTGTAACGTTATATACATTTACCTCAGAATAACCATTCGGTGTCCATAAGCTCATCAGTCAGCTAGAAAAATAACTATAAAGAGGAGCATTTTGCTATATCTATGCGCTATTGCATATTAATCTTTTTACTTAACCTGTTGTCTACATGATTCAACTCCTGGTTCTTTAAAGGTTCTTTAAAGAACCATCTCTTTCTCAATTTTTTATAATCTGAAGAACCTTCTTTCGCCACAAAGAACCTTTGGTGAAATGTAAAGGTTCTTCAGATGTTAAAGGTTCTTTATGAAACCATTTAGACAAAAAAGATTCTTCTATGGCATCGTGAAGCACCTTTATTTTTAAGAGTGTATGACAACATTTACAGGATGCATTGAGGAGGAGCTCAAACTACACTCAGTGGCCAAGTGATGCTTATGGTCCACGATATTGGTACAGATTCTGTGTAATGAACAATTCTTTGTGACTGTATATTTCAAGTTGGAAAAGACATTTAGTTCCCACTTTAAGTGAACCTTAGTTCCCAGATCATCTACAAGATGGATTAAAATGCTGATAAAGTCAAGATAAAATGAGACAAACACATGACAGTATGACTGAAATGTTAAAATGTAAAAAAAATAAAAAAAATAAATAATAATAAATAAATAAAACACGTTTATTCTGTGGCACCTAAAAAAATAATTTGGCGCCTAAGTTTTTTTCTTATAGGAGCCAATGGCTCCTTACTTGATTTTTTTGTCTGGAGCCCTGTTATTGTATGTGTGCTAGGATAAATAAATGCTGTTCTTTTGAAGTATCTATTCATTAAAGAATCCTGGGGGAAAATGTATCATGCATCACACAAAAATATTAAGCAGCACAACTGTTTTCAACATTAACCAATAATATTCCTTTCTTGAAAAGAAATCAGCATATTAGAATGATTTCTGAAGGATTTATGACTGCTGGAAATTCAGCTTTGCATCACAGCAATAAATTACATTTTTAAATATATTAAAACCGATTTTTTTTAAACAGCAATAACATTTCACAATATTACTGTTTTTACTGTATTTTCATAAAAAAATGCAGCCTTGGTGAGCATAAGAGATTTCTTTCAGAAACAAAAAAAATCTTATCAACCCCAAACTTTTAAAGATAGTGTATATGTGAATAGAACTGAAAGAATTCTCAAAAGTCTACAGCACTGTACTTTACAATGTATATGAAAACAATAAAACATTACACATTAAAAATGAAATATTTTATTATATAATATTTTCTATAAAATAAAAAAACACATATGAAAATAATATTTTAATAATATTTATTTATTTTTATCATATATTTATGTAAATAATATATTTATTTATCAAGTGCTGTGTTACCCAGGGAAATAAATAAAAGCTCTCCCTTCCTCCAGAGCGCGCCGTGCATGTGTGACCAACGGCTGCCATACGTGTGTGAGGATTAGGCATGGGACGATAACCGGTTTCAAGGTATACCGCGGTTTGGAAAAGTCACGGTTTGAAAACCACTAAAATTTTCCGTTATACCGTTCCTGCGGTATGCGCAGTTGTTTTACGTGTCGTCAAAGACGGAAAGTGCAGGACTCCCTCAGTTGTGTGCAGCAAAGAGCGTAGCGAGTCACACTACCCCTCCCCCTCCGGTTGGTGCGAGCGGAGTCAAAGAATTCAATTATTTATTTTAATTATTTAGCCTGACATGTTTACTGTTCCAAAATGTTCTATATGTTTCTTAAAAATAAAATGTGTTCAGTGGAAAAAAAAGTAGTTCTTTTTACCCAGACATTTAAAAATAACATATTTTAGAGCTGTAATCGCAATACCGTGAAACCGTGATATTTTTATCTAAGGTTATCATACCGTCAGAATCTCATACCGGCCCATGCCTAGTGAGGATGGAGGATGTTTTTGGTTGTGCTGCTCCTGGGTGAGCGAGTGCATGTACATACGAATGACTTGCAAGTGTGAGCGCATGTTAAAGTGTGTGTGTGTGTGTGTGTGTGGGAGAAGACGGCAGAGAAAGTAGGTCAGTGCCTCGCCAAGGTTGTGCGCAGGCGCGCTGCTTACACAGGTCAGGGCGCTGCATGGGGTTGCTGTAGAAACAGGCTATTACATCAGCCACGCCAAGGTCCTATGGAAGAGTATCACCCAGCCAGACAGACCAGTTCTCCTCCAACCAACCCTGACACAAGGAAACCTTCCAAAACAATGTGCTGGCCTGCTATATTACACCTAAAAACATCCCACTTTTGGACCTATATCATGCATTGCTCAAGACAGATACTTTTGGGACATGTTAATTATTATTTGTTTTATTAAGTTTAGCTTTTAGTTTTATTTATTAAGCTGTTTTGTAAACAGAGAACGGGGTTTGAATCCGGAATTCTAAAATTTAAAAGACTTTATAAACAATTTTAAATTTATTGATAAATTAACAAACAAATGCTGTGGAAAAATAAAGGGTCTAAATTGTCACCCATATTCTAAAAAAAAACCAAAAAAAAATACGTTTTTTAATAAACAAATAAAAAAAATAATTTATTGGTAAACAAACGGTTTAAAAAATCTTAACTTTTGCCATTATTCTAGTATTTAAAAGGCTATTTTAAAAAATACTTTAAAAAAAATATATTGTAAAAAAAAAAAAAAAAAGATTTAAAAACTAAAGTGTCTTTATAACATGTCTAACAATTTAAAAAATGTTTTGTTTATGGTTTTGAGGTTTTGTTAATCACAAAAAAACTAACAAGAACAAGAACACACACAAATTGTTTACACTTCAAGCATGCATTCTTGTTAAAATAGATTTTTGCCTGCTATTCACCATTTGCTGCACTTCCTCTGAAAAAACCTTGACTGCATTGTCAGCTGTCTGCTTGTAAGTCATTGTATTACATAAATGACATAACTCCTAAGACATTATAAAACACTACTGTTTCACAACAGTAATGTGAAACACTCCGAACTGGAGAAGACAGACAATCTTATACTTCACCTGAGACCAGAGGTATCACATGGAGAGCCCTTCCTCTTCCGTGACTCTGGGGTGTCGGGGTCAAGGGCATTCTCCCCTGCAGCACTCATTTTCAGCATATGCACACCTGCAAAACAGGGTAGTTACAAGTCAGCCAACAGAGTCAAGCTCGAAGGAACCATTCTACTAAATAAACACAATGCAGGATGATGAAGTTAAGTCATCCAGTGAAATCCAGTAAAAATTAGTATGTAATGGCAGCTGTCACTGTCTAATACCCATATGTTGTTGTTTATAACTGATTTGATAATATCATCTAGAACTACAAAATAATGGTAGAAAAAGAATCCCAGGCACCACTGCGGACCAACTGGCTCTGGAAAACCAGCAAACTTCAAGTTAAACCAGTTCTGAAATAGTCCCATTTTACTGTAAACGCTATGACAGGCAACATATCTCAACCTGATTGAGCGGAACAGTCAGATGACTCCATATCAGGCACAGACTGAGGTGACGGCTCATTCCCGCTAGCAATATGCATTATCGATTGCTCCTTGCAGAGGAATCATAAATCTGCTGTGAAAGGGCTTGCTAACTGAAAGCCTTCTTTGATCTGTGGTGCTATCTTACTCAGCGCTACCATCTAACCCAGTGGTCTCAAACTCAATTCCTGGAGGGCCGCAGCTGTGCAGGGTGTAGCTCCAACCAGCTCCGAATCACACCTGCTTGGAAGTTTCTAGTAATCCTGATTAGCTGGATCAGGTGTGCTTGATTAGGGTTGGAGCTAAACTGTGCAGAGCTGTGGCCCTCCAGGAATTTGAGACCAATGATCTAACCCATGCTGTGAACTGCTAGAAGAGGAAACCGCTGAACCACCATTCGTGAGCGTCTAAAGGGCTGGTCACACTACACTTTTCGTTCCATTGACTTCCATTCATACGCATACAAACGCGGGAGACAGGAAACACAAGCTCATGCGAAGTTCAAGTTTGGTGAACTGCCCTGTGAATTCTTATCACATGAAGATGTGAACAGAAGATTGGTGTTGCCTTTTAGCTGAACTAAAAGAACACAAACTTTAAAACTGCAGGACTGCAGCAAAGTGAAGATTACACATTTATACATTTTGAATGTACAATATGTAGAATTATGTTTTTTTTTTTAAATGTTAAATTTTTGTGATATTATTTTCATTAACAAAATCTTCTTGGTTGGTAGATGCACCGGGGACCTGATTATAGCACTTATAACCTGGAAAAGTCAGATTTTCATGATATGTCACCTTTAATGAAAATCAAGCTCTCTGATCAAGCTCTTTTAGTAAAATAAAAAAATTGAATTCACTACCAAAAAAAGACGACTACTGTTCAAAATTTGGGGTCAATAGGGTATATATTTTTTTTACGTTTTTGAAAAAACTCTCTTGCTGCACTATCACTGGGGGTACAAAAGAATGATTGCTAATGATCAAAAACAATAAAGAGTAATATAGCGAAATCTTATTACAATTTAAAATAACTGTTTCTACTTTCATATTTTTAAAAATCATTCTAATATGCCGATTTGGTGTTCAAGAAACAATTCTTCAGTTCAAAAGAACATAATTTATTTGAAATAGAAATGTTTTGCAACCGTATAAATGTCTTTACTGTCACTTTTGATCAATTTAATGTGTCCTTTATGAATAAAAGTATGAAAAATTGTTTCTTAATTTTAATAAAAAATTTGGCCTCAAACTTTTGAGCAATAATTTACTAACAACTGTAATTTAAATAATATATCATTATTACATAGAATTTTCTTTTCATATTTCATAAATGAGAATGAGATTTTATTCTGAAAAAAATATTTTAGAAAATGTTAGAAAATCACAACATCCAATTGTCTATGTCTCGTTTACTTGAGCAAATGTTCAATACAAGCATCAGGTGTCTTCAGTTGCAGTATGTAACCATAGAAACAGGACACATTCAAGCTGCACATAAGGAAATCCTAAAGAGCATTCACAGCATTTTGTGATGGTGATACGACAAACATACATACCACTGCAGGTATTCAGACCAATACACCGTTGGACTTGTCCACAATCCAACCCTTCATACATCGAAAGCCTTTGTAGCTACTGATATTGACTATACAACCATGTTAGGATAGAATTTCAGCTAATAAGACTTCAGTAATGATGAAAAGCAAGGTCACTACTGCAATACACAGGGTGAATATGGTTAGCTGTGGCAAGACCACACTTGGGACAGCACTAAATTCCACCAAAAAATTCAACTTGATGTTCAATCAAATAAAAATGAAAGCTATAGATGTTTGAAAATAATAATAATACTAAAATAATTAATATATTAAGAGCCAGTGTTTCTTCACCTTTTACATAATAGCACTTGATCCAGTTCCCCTGGAGCAGGGTACACCACCCCTTAATTTGGTGACATCAACAGCAATTGTTCACCTTGGATGGCCAACTAAAATGAAACTCTAAAGTAAATCCTGCTCTACCTGGAGCTTTGACAATCCCTTCAGTTTGAAGAAGATCATTAGCCATATCTTGTGTTTGTTTTTTTCACTCGGGGAGGCCACCACCTAGACCAGTGCCTGGCTCCACAGGCACAGTCCACTTTGATCTGCAAGGTCTGAACAGGCTGCTATTGTGGGTCTGTTGAAAACCTCCAGCGGCCCCTAATCCCTGGCAGCTCCATTTCCAGCAAGTTCACCTCAAACAGGCCCATTTAAGTTGAGGGGGGGGAAAAAAAATCACAGAATTTGAGCTGGTTTTAAAATTTAAACACTTGAACAGCCATTTTAGTAGAAAAGGCAAGTGATTTTCTTATACTACAAGCTTTAGCATTGACACATTCCACAATGACAATCACGGTTGAAGGATCCACTGAATATAATACCTATACTTAAAGGATTAACACAAGCATTTACAATCTAGAACATAATAAATCCCTCGAATTCACACATTTGAGCAATCCTTTAAGAAAGTTTGGTGGAAATAAGGGCACATTTGAGTTTACTACCCCGTTTTTTGGGGCCCCTGAGCCTTCACTTTATTGCTCTGGAGAATGTGAAACATGACCATGCATGCGAACATGCAAAATTGTTCAGAAATTAGGCTAGATCCTAAAACAAAATCCACCAGGACATATTGACTCCTGTGCGTCTGAGCGGCCCTTACTGTAATTATCAACAGCTTGCACCAATGTGTTCAGTGTTTAGTTCAGCCCTGCTCAGCCAAGTGTTGAGGAAAGCCAACCGACAGGTAATGAAGATACCTGTGCTTAAACTTGAGAATAACCAGTCGCACTGCTACATCAGCTAAAGCTAATGTTAAAGAAATGGACGTGTGATTTACACAAAAACATTTGCAGAATCTTAGTATATTTCAACTTCCCAAAACTTGTTTTGGGAGGTTTAAAATACTCGATAATGTCAAATCGCACATTGTTAAAACAACAATTACGATATTATCGCAGACGATATATATCGCACACACCTAGTTTACAGCACTTTTTTCACAATTGCTAGTTTTTTTTAAGCTAATGGGACATCAAATCATTGTTAGCAGGACACCATTTCTGTGCCTTAATCTTTCAAAGGACTGATATTTCAATACATCAATGCATGTCCGTTCACATTAACAACATTTTACACATCCGCATTGTAGTTTAATAAGAAAAACAATATTTTGGCGCATTAGCACATTAGTCTCTCAAACAAGTTAGTATTTATTTTACCGTCTTCTGTTTGCTGGAGCTCATATTTCTTGCTAGATAAGAAATATTTGGCATCGTCCAAACTGATTTCAAATTCCCTCACCAAATGCAATGGATATAACACACTAACCGCTAAGCTGTACGAAAGAAGTTGACAAAACTTCAAGTCATGAATCTTGTCTATAGGTCAGCTTAGTCCTGTTTATAAACTCTGAGTCATCAGTCTTTGGTTGAGAAAGTCTGCATGCAAGCTGATGCTTCTATCTTATATCTGGTAATAAGTTGTGGGGCTATTTAATGTTGCTATAATTAAATCTCTTTGAAAGAAATGGATAAGAGAGAGCATACTGTTATCTTCTTCTGCCAAGAGGCAAAAAACATCAATGTCACACTGAAAAAAAAAATCTGTGGCTGTAAATGTTATGTAATTAAATCTGTGATATTAACAATAAAATGTTAAGTTTGCATCTTTACGTGAATATATCTAGTTTTGAATTAATCTGCATTTGTTCAAAACACAAGACAATGTGCATTTTTTCCTTTGCAAAATTTATCTACATAATCTCAGCCAATCTTCTTAGGTACACACACACAACAAACAATAACTTTGTTTTATTTACTCAGTACAAAATAATTACTTCCCTTCATGTTTTGTTTGTCTGGAAACCCCCTGCATTCCAAACGAAGAGGAACACGCGGACTGAACTTAAGGTAGGAATAAAGTTAGCAAAGTAACATTAGTTGGTTAGGTACATTTCCACAGTCTTTACAGTTTTCAAATTGTTGTACAAAAACGACGCTTTACATGTAATTTGAAGATAACGTTGTTGTACGTGGAATACTAACCAACGTTACCATGTGGCTACACTGGTAGGTGCTTATGGACGACGCGGTCCTGCACACTTCTGAGCTCCGTGAAAAACAAACCCAAAGAAACATTTCTACATGTGAAAAAGAAGGTGATAAACACACAATTACGATAGTATATGGTTTGTGTGTGATTTTCATGCAATTGGTGCGATTTTCATATCAATAATGGATGTTTATAAATGCTGACATTAGATCGCGATCGAAAGTTAATTCAAACACTCAATGGTGGTTTAAAGTGGATTTTGAGTAAAAGCATAATATTAATCTTTTAAATTGTGTCATGTAGATTGATGCTAATTGTAGCTTTAATGCACGTTGCTATACTTTTTCACAAACATTTGTTAAAAGAATTCACATAAGGTCCCAAAAATATGCTTTTTTTTTTCTTTCTAAAAATACTTAAGATAATAGGTGGATTAATGTATAGTGGGAACAAGGTGGTGTTTGGCAAGTCACAATGCCAGAAAGAAGCCTAATAATGGCGATTTTGGAGCGGTTTCTGGTTAAACAAAAAGGATTTTACTCTTTA